AGAAACTCAAAGGCGTCTGATCCACGACAAAAACGACGAGGCTACAATTGATTGAGAAGAGAGCGAGAGACAGGTAGAACTAGCAAGATTCGCGGGATTATCTTTATCTAAAGTAAGGAGAGGTTACTCAACAATGTCTACGGCTGACAATGGATGACAATGCCGTCTCGAGTGCGCCCAGTAGTCTCAAGGGAGGGACAGTGATGCGGACTAAACGGTTGGATCCAGATTGGCGGACAGCCACACGAAAGCCAAAGCCCTCCTCTAACTCACGTGCAATCTCCGGTGCTTCTTGGTGGGAAAACGCCACAAAGTTAGCTTTACTGGGCAGCAACTCCAACCCCATGAGACTCAAGTGATACTGGAAAATTTCACGCGTGCGGATCACTTCATTGCAACGGTCTCTAGTGAGAGCATACGTCGCTAATGCTTCCAGGGCCATCTCTTGAGAGGAGGTGAGAAGCCCACGAAGGATATCCAGCTGCTTGACCCGATCGATCCAGTGCGTCCGCGCGACCATGAACCCCACGCGACTGCCGGCAAGTCCAAAATCCTTGGAGAACGACCTGACCAGGACCACATTGTCGCACGTGATTGCTGTTTCCAGCATCGTTTCAGCTTTTTGCGTGTATTGAATGTAGCACTCATCGACAATGAAGAGGACGCTAGGAAATTCCCTGATCAACTTCTCGAGGGCAGTCTTTGCAACCCAACCACCCGTAACTCCTTGAGGGTTGGAGAAGCAGACTGCAACAGACTTGTTCAATTCTGCAAGATCTCGAAGACGATTGGATAGTGCCTTCAAGTCCATGTCAAGCACATGGTGCGACCGGACTGGAATTGATTCAACTGTTTTGGCAAAAGTCTTTATGATTGGAAACTCGTGATCGAGTGTCGTCAAAATGTCGAATTCCTCAGAAACAACTCGGCTGAGGAGGGACAAAATGTTCGCGCTTCCCGCACTGACATGAAGGTGTTTCAGTCCAACAGTAGAATCGAAGGGAAGGGCTTCTGTGGAATGCAAGTGCTCGATCAGGGCTCCCTTCAAAGCCGATGCATCCTTTGGGTAGAACTGAGAAGCTTCAGGGATGTTGAGTGACAAGTCCACTACAGGCTGCTTGCAAGAGAAGGACAGTAGCGATAGTATGGGAAACTGGCTACAGAAAAGTCGAGCAACGCCCGGAATGGATTTGATCTCCAACCTGTGGTCGCCACTGCCTTCGCCAATGACAATGTTCGATGGTTGAAATCCATGGCAAAGAAAGCGCTTTTGCCAAGCGTAGTAGGGCTCGTGGCGCTCGGTGCGGTCAGCGTCTGTACCTGCGACGATATCCAAAGCCTCGTTCCCAAAGAAATCGTTGATCAGAGCATCACGGATCTCCTCATATTAAAACTGGACGTCGCAACAGTCAACTCCAGAGATGTATTCCTTCACAGCCCTAAAGTGAAGGAGAAGAAATGCCATTCTTCTTTGCAAGTCATCGGTTAGGTGGTCCGAGTCTGGTTCAATGATATTGACTAGAACCGGATGAAGACTTCCGAGTCCGGCGAAGAAGTTGTCACGGGCAATCCTCGCGCCAACTTGCATCTCTGGATGTTCCTTTTTCAAGTGGTGCAATGTGAAATTGGACAGCACCACCAAGTCTCCCTTGACTTTCGACTTGATGGATGACCAGTCCAAGTCCTCGGCATACGAATGAATCGTTTCGCATGTAACTTGGACCTTTATGTTCACTGCTAGTGAGGCGACGTTTCGCTGGACGATAGCCAAAGAATCTGGATCAATATCAACACCGAGAACATGGACCGTTTCCATCTTTGGGTTGTGCAGCGCCAACTGCTGGAGAAGTTTCAACACGAACCTCCCTTGCCCAGCCCAATGTCCATCAAGGTTGCATGCTTGCTATTTGCCAGGGCCCTGCACGCACTTGCGATAGACATCTTGAAGGCTTCATTCACAAGTGGCATTCGAAGGACGTTTTCAAAAAGATTGATTTGCTTCGAGGGGTCGTCGAATCTCTGTCCATAGTTTGCAGAAGCAACATCTTCGTCGCCCTTTCCGTGACGAGCAAGAAGTCCCTTGACTGCCTGACGTTCAAACGGTTCTGCTGATTCATCGACGACGAGAGCATGAAGCATCTCGACCTTGCTTGGTGGCAAGCTCGAAAGCTTGGCAGTATCAATCAAGAGTTTCTCGCCAGCTGTGAAGCGAAAGGATTTCAAATCAACAGGGATCCCGGAAGGCGTGCTGCGCTCCATCTTCATGTCGACTTCCTTCGTTTTCTCAACAAAGAAGTTTTCAAAGGCAGCGGCTGAGATCTTCATGGTGTTTTGTGTTTGATTGTGGTGTAGCAAGTTGTGTTTCTGGAATCGGTGATTGGATTTTATGAGAGCTTTTCGGAGCCGAGCCGCTTCAATCTCTTTCCATCTTCAATGCATATCTCGCTCTTCGTGGCTCTACAAGGTCTTGTACCGCACAAGACCTACAGGATACCGGTACAAGACCTACATTGTAGTGCCAGTCCTTGTAGGTCTTGTACCACAAAGTCTTCTGCGCAACGCTGAAGATCGGCTATTAGTACATAGTAGGAGTTTGCGTTGGATGGTTTGTGAGTTTGCGTCGGAAGAAATTGTCGGTTTGGATTCGATTCATTGGGATCCTCGTTAATCGCGGATACTTAACCACTGTTGATGAAAAATGCCTTTATTGTTGGGGGCTTTTTGAAATTTTGTGCCTGTTTAATCGCGGATTCTTAACGAATTTGTAGATTCACTCGTGCAAAGCTGCACTTTGGTTGTCTCAATAGTCTCAATCACAGTTTCACAAGGTTCCGCCACAAATTTTGGTTTTGTCTCATCAAATAATAAATAAGGGATCCGATATGGAGGGTCTCAGCCTTGGCTTCTGTGAGCCAAACGTTACGATACCAGCGCAAACCAGGTTCCTCGAAACTCGCAACCGGCCTAAGAGAATGGCGATCTCGACAACTAAAACCTTCTGCAAGACTACTACCTTTGTAAGTGCATAAGCGACGAAGATCCCTTGGAAGTTTGGCAGCTGCTCCGCTACTTCCCCTGCGGAGCTCCGCCCAGCCACAATGCATCGTTTCGTTAGGCACTGGTTGACACTACTCGCTTGGATCAGGACGTCTCAGGAGGTCTTGGTGGCTCCCTGAATCGGGAATGACGCCCAAATAATGTATCTAATGGAATGGAAACTAAGGATGAAATCAGAAGTTTCTCCCTGAGACCTGATACATGTATGCTCTTCACTCTCGTTGCACCGACGCACAGAGCATTGGGGGGCCCTGGCTGGTATAGAAGGTCCACCGAAGTCTACCGACCTAGACAATCAATTACCTACAAAACCAGAGTAGGTAGGCACAGTGGAATATCTCGGTAGCTGGCTACTAACAGCCTTTTTGCTGAGCTATCCATCACCCAGGAGGCATGAGGAGGCCGAGCCTTCGTCGTTTGAATAAGAATTATCATGGGCTTTTGTCGCCACTACAGTTTGCTAGGGAGTACGAACTCGAGCATCGATCGTCATGTACAAGTCCTCACCAAGGCTTGTCGATGACGCCGGCGACGCGAGAACATAATAGGTTTCCCCCAGTTGCGTCATGATGGCATATTGAGCACCGCACCAACCGTCGCCGGGGCCTCCAATACCCGAGATTGCATCATTGACACATTGGAGGTCACCACAGTCACCCGAGAAAACACGAACTTCTAGTCGGTGCTCAACATTGTCACTCAAATCCACAAAGACGTCGGCACCCGTCCCTTGAAAAGTGTACCAAACACCCAAAGGAAACTCGCCCCAAGTGGCGGATGTAGTAGAAAAGGAGGCAATGGAGGAGCAATCCGTTCGAATAGACCAGCACGATGGTACTTCAGCATCCGCGGTGGCGCCCCAAAAGGATGAACTATCCAGGACATCCGAAGGACCCGTAGTGTTTCGTATTTCGGTAGCTGTTCCACAAAAGTCATTGGCAACACGAACGGCATCCGTGGTTAGCGTCAGGGAGAATGTTCCGGTCGAGTTGTTTGCTCCATGCACAAGAAGGCGATAGATCTCCCCTTGCGTCGATTGCCAGGAGACGGAGCTTTGGCCCCCACAAAAATTATTGTTGCCATCAATACAGACAAGATTGTCGCATTGACCGGAAAAGACGGACAGCTGTGTATCAAAGTCCGTAGTCGCACCCTCAGCGTCGTTATTCGAACAAGTAGATGCTGTAATTGCTTGTCCTGTTCCTTGGACAAGATACCAAACTCCTGGAGCTGTCGCTGCCGATGCTCCCCGACAATTCCCTACGGTATCCGGATTGGCATTCAATGTAGTGTAGGACAGCGCAACTCCGGAACTTGTGGGCGCCACGGGGCCATGCGCATATTCACATTTGTCATTGGCCACAATTTCCAGCGAAAAGGTAGCATCATCATCTTGATCTTCATTATTACTTGTATTGGGCGTCACCAACAGATAGTACCCGGTGTTCTCCTCCGCATGCCAAGACCGAGAGCTGCACTCCTCATTATTATTCAAATCTTGACGTTGTGGGTAAAAACATTCCTGTCCCGTGAAAGCCTCGAGGACCACGTCACCACAGACAATGAGAGTGACAGGCCCTGCGACTCTCGGCGAGTACAGTCAACTCGCTCTAATATTACTTGGGGGGGATTTCGGACTTCGGGTAATATAATAGAGAGAAGTAATATTAGGCTTTTCAAGGGCCGGTTCCACTAGTAAAGTACGAATGGATAGAGCCGTCACGTTTACGCTTGCCCGCCGTTCATGTTGGTTGAATCGGCGCCGTTCATGTTGGTCTAAGTCGGATTGGAGGGATTGGTATGGTTTGCTTGCACTTGTTTTGTTGCTGAGAGAATTGTTTTTGTCTCCTCTCTGCCATTCTGCGCAAATCTCGCGAAAACACCATGAAAAACCCCACCTACGAAGATTTGCGCGGACTGGCAGAGAATCGGACAGGCAAGGAGAGGTGCGGGGCTCCGGTTGGCCTCTTATTGGCACCTCATCGGCATGCATTGGCATTTACATGTATGTCTCTGTCGAGTTGGATGGTTTGCGATGGATTGCGAGCGATTGTTTTGCTGCTACGAGATTTGCGAGGGTACTGACGTCATTCGTCATTCACGGATATGCGGGACTGGGGGGGGATCCGAAGAATCAGGTAATATAACAGCGAGAAGTAATATTAAATAAGTAATATTAGCGCGAGTAGACTGTACACGTACCAACCCCCAATAGTAGGCAGTTCCAAGGAGATTCCTTGGCCACAGGTAACCGTGTACTCCTCCACGAGATTCAAGCTGGAGAGAGGCGCTGATAATAATACTCCTGAAAGTTCCAGAAAGTGTGCCTCGTCCCGGATGGAATTGTTTCGGTTGGCGTTGGACCGGGTCGGTCTGACACTTGGCGCGTCCGTCATAAAGGCTGTGGGTACCGGGCTACTGGGAGAACTATTACTACTACTGCTCGTCGGAGCCATCGTAGTAGTTGTTGTAGCATTCATTCCATCATCACTGGGTAGTAAAAAAAAAACTGAACGTCTAATAACGGATTCAGACGAGATGTGCTTGAGGACTACCCACGAGCTAGGGCTCGGGTATTTCCCACAGTCAAGTCTGCTCACCGGCCACACTGGCCTCCTGAG